CCCGTCCCCACCTCCCCTGCCCCTTCCCTAGCTCCTGCCTCCCAGGCCGGGCCGCCCCCGGTTTGCAAGCTCGCTGCAATGAAACTGCTGCTTCCAGCTACTTCAGAAAGTTATTTTCGCTTTTATCGTATGCATTTTGCCTGATTCTTTAGTGTTTTTGTCTTGTTTTGTTTTCTCTTGGTGTTCAGTACTTACTAGTATTCTCTTGCTAGTGAAGAGACGGAGTGAGGGAGTCTAAAGGGAACATCGCAAAGGAAAAGTGCAGCTTTATAATCACAAAGGAAAAGTGCAGCCTTATAATCTCGTGATCAGAACAGATGGAGCTTTTAAAACAGCAGAAGGACTATACTTATTTATGTGGAGTGGAATACTCTGTGTTTTCGGTCATGTTGTTATATATGCAAGGTTTAAACACAAACTTTGTTGCCTGAAGTGGGACCAACACGCTACAACGACACAGCTGCTCCCAGTTCACCGAGGGATTGGTGTTATTTAAAATCTCCCCGTATTTAAGGAGTCATTAATACAGCTATTAAGGTGCATTAGGGATGCTTTTAAGAGAAAAAAGGAATCGTGTATATAATGTAGTTTGCATCTTGCAGTAATAACCCCTCCAAAGCGTGTCTGGTTCATGCTACAGCCACAGTATCTGCTGTTCTGAAACAAAATTGATAATTTTTTTTTTGTAATGCTGGGTCTTCATTATTAAAGTTCACTGCTTGTCTTTGGGGCTGCTTTCTGTGTGTTTTCATGGCAAGGATAACTTTTGGTTTCTCTCATTCCTCTCCAGGGATCAAAGCTGGAAATCCCACTGTGGCTTGCTAAAGGGCTACACGACAGCAAAAGGAGAATCATTTCTGTGGAACTGCCTAAAATTTACAGGGAAGCCTGGAGGACAGTGTTTAGTGCTGATGCCAATGTGGTTGATCTGCATAAAATGGGTCCATACTACTATGGATTTGGCTCACAACTCCTGAACTTTGACAATCCAGAGAATCCTGAGATAGCTCAGACTATCCTGCAGGCAAGTATCTGAACTAAGTCTTGAAATGTGTTATTGCATTTTTTTTTGGTCTTTTCTTGTTCCCAGCTGCTCAGCAGTCTTCAGGAAAAATATCCTGTTTTAATCCGCAGGCAACAGGACAGTCAAGAGGCCTCAAGTATCCATCCAGGAGTGTGATTTTAGCTTGGAGTTTCCACACTGTAAATGTGGAACTTCATAAAATCCTGTAAAATGGGGCTAGAGGAGATGTAAGATAATTTAATCATGCCTGAGCTGCAAGGCAGATTTAATTCACCCTCTATTCTTTCAATTCTTTCAGTTTTTCTACCCTGCTTTTAAAGCTCTGTCACTATGAGACCCCACACTACTCTGGGCAATCTTTTTCAGTGCTTTGCTGCCTTAACCTTAGGAGGTTTGCTCTCATGTCTAAACCAAAGCTCCTTTGCATCAATGCAAGCTCTGTTCTGTTTGTCTTATACAAAGAAAATGCTGAGGACAGAACATTCTCTTCCTTCCTGCAGCAGTTCCATCTCATTTGATATCTCTCTGTGGGTCATGCTTTCTAACCTCTGATTGTCCTTATTGTGTGCTGCTGGTACCTTTCCAGTGGATCTGCATCCACCATGCTGTGCCATGCCATGCCCTGAACAGTGTGCAGTCTCATGCTCAGAACTTGAAAACAAGAAGACTACTTTGTGAATTGTGTAGGCTGTTAATGCTCTTTGCTCCTCGTGGTGCAGCATCTTGTTTGTCACCATGCAGTGACTGATGTGTATTTGGTTTGCAATCCACAGTGAGATAGTATAGATTGTATATGCAGACAATTGTTTCTCTTCCTGATTTTGTACAGCTCCTATTTCTGCCTTAATGCAAAACTTTGTTAGTCCTGGATGAATTACATGCTTTTGTTTTCACAACATGTTTCTAATATGTCAGGATCATTATGAATTAAAGAGTTCTGCTCCCCAACATGCCTGAAGTTATCCCTTCTCCTTCTCCTGCATGTTATTTGCTGTTTTAATAAACACAACTCCTATTCCTTTAGGAAGCTTATTAATTAATATCTCAGACAGTGCTCGGTTCCAATAAACCCCTGTGGAACTCCACTCGGTATGTTCTTCCCTCCTGACAGGAGCTATGGATGCTGATTGTCTTTCCTGACCATCTATGGGTGGTCTAGCTAAATCTTGCAAGAATGCTCCCTGACAGATATCCCTCTGCTGCTTTTCCTCCTGGGCAAGGCCTGGCATTGTGCTGTAACAGCAAACAAGGCTGCTCTCCCCGAGTTTGTTCTTGGCAAGTCCATGTTGCCTGTTACACTTTTATTCTCTTGTAGAAGTTTATGTGTGGTTTGTTTGTTCCAGTATGTTTTTCAGGAATTGATACTGATGGGTTTATAATTCCCTGGCTCTTCCTTCTTCCCTTTCCATCTCCTCTTTCTCTTCTAAAAGATAGATACCATCTTTGCCAGGTTCCGGGCTTCAGTGCTCCCTGAGCTTTTAAAGATAACCACTAACAGCTCTGAGATGTCTCCAGCCAGGTCTCTAAGTGGCCTGGGATGATTGCTATTGCATGTTTTTTTCTTTCTCTATGCTTTACATGAAAGCTTTAAAGCACTGCTGCTTTCTTGGACTTGTCTACTGAAAATTTGTTTTCTGCTTTGAGGAGGTGACCACACCTTTCCTTGTCTTTTCTCTTTCTGCTAATGGACAAGGCTTAGGCAAAAAGCCATGGTAGAACTCATTAGTTATTGACAGAAAAATCAAAGCATGCAAGGTATGATTTCTCTTTGTTAAAAGCAAACGAGGGGAGTTGTGCTGACTTACAAAATGAACAAAATACAAAACCCCCCACCCTCTCTGAAATATTCAGGAACTGTAAATGTGAAGTATAACTACTTGGTGACAAAGTCAATGTGAGAGTTATTAATTTATATTTATCCTCTAAGTTCTGATGATTCTCAAATCAGCTTCAGAGAGTTTTAACCCTTTTTTTTTTATTCCCAAAAGCGAAGATAGAGAGAGAAATAAAAATCTTTAAATATGTCGTATTGGTTAGCTTTTTAAGATGTTATTTCTAAGTTGTGGATTGGGTTTTTTTGACTCTTTTCATAGTTAAGTGTTTTTCTAGCATATTAAATGCTTTTCATTAGTGGTTTGGCTTAACTTCCAGGACGTTCACAACTTGCACCTTGTATGTTCCTGCAGCAGCTGCTGTGGTATGAGATTCATTCCACCTGCTCTAAAGCAATAATGTGTGTGAAGTACGATGGAATAGATTGTAACTCTGTTGTACCCTGTGGTCCCCTTCAAGCCTGTCATTAGGAAGCAGCCAAAATCTAATTTCATGCTTGCTTCCCATCCAGAATATCAGGCACTTGCTCTCCCAGCTCAGGCTGGTTTTGTCTTTGTATTCAAGTGCTGTGCTGGTTGCAGGCCTGTGGCTAGTTGTGAACTAGAGCCTACACCTTTGGCTTTGCAGTCCTGCAGACTCAGACCTCCAGCAGTGGAGCTGAGGGAACCTCCGTGTTACCTGTCAGTAATTCTGTTTATCATCCTTAGACATTCATCAGCCGTTTTCGTCGTATCATGGACTCCTCTCAGAATGCCTACAACGAAGACACGTCGGCGCTGGTGGCTCGGCTGGATGAGTTGGAGAGAGCTTTGTTTCGAGTTGGCCAGAAAGGGCTGAATGACTTCCAGTGCTGGGAAAAGGGACAGGCTTCCCAAATCACAGCTTCCAGTCTGGTCCAGAACTATGGGAAAAGAAAGTTCGCAGACATGGATGGTTAAAAGCCTGAAGAACATGCAGCTGCAGTGGGGGTCACAGAGGTTTGCAGTCTGTCTGTCACAGAAGAGAAAGGTGAATCAACTTTGGGGAAGAACAGGCTCCCTGTCCATTAATTCTTCTCTGTAACATCTTTGGGTTAGACTAGTGCAAATTTTAAAGGCAGAGGGCAAGGCTATGAAAAATAGATCACATCACATTACTGAATAGCTTACTCATAGCACTCCGGAGGATTTGCAGCTAAAGTGTTTGCTAGGTGGCTAAAAGGCTCTGAAGGGATTTTCTAAGAGGGTAATTAATATTTATTATTCTTCCAAATTGATATTTACAATACCAGAGCTGGAAAAAAGTTTAATTTGTATATTTTGTCTTGCTGTTCTCTTTCCAACCTCCTGAAGACAGCTGTTGATTTTATGAACAGCTGTTTCCAGGTTTCCCTGTTCTTTGGAGAGCCCCAATGATGTGGAAAAATTGTGGTACAAACAGCATTAAATTTTTTTCATTTCTTATACACTGATGTGGAACAGGTACTCTCTGTGAGGCAGGAATGTTTTTCCTGGCTTACTTTTGTACACAGTGCTAGTGCCCTGGAGAAAAATACCTCCTCTAACCCACATAGCAGACAGGTCTCATGCTGCCATGTCCTCTCTCCATTTTCTGCCCTTGTGACCTTGGTGCTGCAGGGGGTAAAGAATGTTCTTGTTAGATGCCAGTGGCTTTTGTGGTGGATGAGTCCCTGTCATGAGTGTTTTACAGAGGAGGCAATGAAGGCAACAAAGAGTTAAGTCTGGACCAGATCAAAAGCAGCAACTTTAATGGAAACTCCCCCATTATCAACCTCTGAGCTATCTGTTTTCCCATGAGAAATTCTTCTCATTGCTAATTTGGTTAGTAGAAGGGACAGAGCAGATGAACTGTGTTTCCTTCCTTCTGATTCATCTAAACAACATGATCCTAGCAAAATGATCCCAGTAAATATCATCCTTGCCAGTAAGAGTTGGGACTTGCTAAACAGCACAGTGGTTATCATCCCATGTGGATGCCCTTAAACCTAGATCATCTGAAGTCCCATTGGATTGGATACAGAAAACAGATGGTTTTCTCTGTAGGACTTTGTTCCCACAGTCACCAGGATGGTCATCCTTTGGAAACAGGTATTAGACATCTTATGAGTGCTTCTAAGCCTCCATAGAGGGTGGACCTTGCAGAGTACTTAAGTGGAGGAGCCAGGTCCTAATGATACCGACTGCTTCTGTGGGAATCACTGGGAGGTGGCAGCACGATCCAAATGTTGGAGGAGTTGTTATTGGACTTGAGACCTCAAGTACAAAGGGTGTGTGGCTATTCCTTGGTCAGAGAAGTTCAAGCTCAGCCTGTAGAGGTGATGAGAGGGGACAGTGTTCTGGCTTCACAAGCATCTTGATGCCTCCACCTCAGCTGCACAGGGCCAGCTGTCCTGCCCCAGGAGATTAATTGCAAGCTGTGCCTCACAAAGTATTTTAAGTACATTCAAGATCAAATGGTGCTGCACTTAATGACTAAATGGCACATAATAGCTTATGCATTTTCATGAAGCTTTTGTCTATTGTCCATTTCTGGATTTTTATGTTGAATAAATATTTTGTAAGGGAATGCTTGTAATGTGAAAAGTCTGTTGTTAATTGCTTCCAGCAGAAAAATCAAATTGGAAAGTCCTGGTCTCTACAAAGGTTTTGCCATTATAGATAATGCAGTCCTGCATATATTATCCCACTGCTCCTACAGGTAACACAGCCAGGAGCTACATTCGTGCAGTTGTATGAGTGTAGGAGTAGTTCCTGTCTGAACTACCCCATGTGGGAACTAGCTGTTTGCTCAGGTTGTGGGAGTGACTCTGCTGCGAGCCAGTCAATAAGCTATTGATTTTATAAATTGCATTTTTAGGAACATAAGATGGATGGAGATGACTCCATGTTACCTCGACTCTGTTGCAGAGTGGTGGAAGGGAGGTGGTAGTTGGCTGTCTCTGTATCCATACCCTGCTGCTCCAGGCACTGTGGAATACACTTCATGTACTGTGACAAAGCTATGCTCAGTGCTGCAAGGGAAGCAAATTTAAGTCCATCTATGGTGAGAAGTAGTTTTCAATTGGAAATATTATTCTACTGAGGTGCTGGCTTTGAGATCTAGTTGGTTTATAACTGAAATCATCCGTTCCATCAATTTCTGAACTGGTTTTGGTGACTATCCAAACTAATTTTCCTGTATTTGTAAGAAATTTTTCTTCCCTACTTCTGGATGCAAAATCCAAGCAGGCAGTTGTACATTTGCCAACATTTTGTGCAACTACTTTCATAGTAGGGAGAAAAAAAATCCCTGAAGTAGTCTTCAATGTCACGAGCTTTTTCTAGGTAGGCAGTGTCACTTTCAGTAACCCTGAGTTTTCAACCCTTAAAAAAATCTGATCCTGTAATTTTAAATTACAGTATTTTGTTAATATATCTTGGTTAGCTTTTTTGATGTCCAGAAGTACAGGAGTGCTCTTATTTTTTGTGAGCACAACTGTCCTTTATGATAGCACTGCAGCAAGCTGTAAGTTAGAGGAGCTTGAACTTGTGTATTTTCAGAATGGCACAATAAATCTGTGTTACAGAATTGCATGGGAAAGGTCCAAAAAGGACTTTTAAAGTGTAATTTCTCCCTATGTCCCTCAGCTTTGAAACTGGAGTACCACTGATGTTTATGATAGAGCAGTCCATAGACACATTTTGCAGTATTGCCACAAAGGTTTTCATTGCAATCAAATGAAAAAAGATCCAAATTTGAGATGCAGATTAGTTATGAGTTCACACAAGAATATTTGTTTGGGTTTTAATGGCCTGTTTTTAAAAAGAGTTATGACCTGACCTAGCTCAGTCCTTCTAAAGTGAGGAGCTGGACCTGATCCTTATGGTTCCCTTCCAACTTGAGATATTCTATGTTTAGTCCCATCTAACCCATCTCAGCATGATGTTTGCCCAGCCAGGCCTTTGGAACCTGCCTCTGCAGGAGAACCCACTGCCTCCCCAGGCACTCTGTTCTGTGCCTGGCTGCAGTGTGTGATGCTCTGCATTCACTGACTGCAGAAGATATGGCCAGTCAAACTTCCTGGCAGTGAATTCCTCATGGAGTGGTTAATGAAACTAAGTTTCACATTAACTTCTTGTAAAACTCTCTCTTGCTTGTCTGCGTTTTTTTCAAGCCAGACCAGCAGCCGTGCAGGGCTGACCCCAGTTTAATACAAAGAGCTCTGCAACCAGCACACACACTTTCTCATGTATCAAAATTACCTTTTCACAAAACATCCATGTTTCTTTCTTTGTCTCCTTTGCTCTACACAATGTCTTAGTTTGTCCTCTGGCAGTGATTTATTTTTGGTCAGCAGAATGAAGTGGTTGATTGCTCCTGCCAGCCTGGGAGCAATGGGTGGTGTCATTTGGACCAGCAGCAACCTAGAGGAGCAGCAGCAAGAAATGTTCTGAGAACTGACATACTGTAACACTGTGTATTATTTTTATGAGAAACACACTGGCACTGGCTGAATTAGGAGCACAAGCCTTTCTGATCTTCATCCATGATTTTCTACACGTTTTTTGGTAACCAGCTATTACAAAAGCTTCATTCAAAAATGTTCATGGAACCAGTGGTTTAACAGAGATGTGATGTAATTCAGTAGAGGCACAGTGTGAATGCTTTCTTCACACAGAGCTGCCTCTGTCCCCAGATGTGCTTTCTGTAAAACACATTGTCCAGTAACACAGCACATGGCTCAGGAGTTCATGATTTTTGAAAAAGTACTATCTATTCATCTAGCACAGCCTCTGCCTGGCAGGAGGCAACTCAAAGCTGTTCCCTGCCTCATATTCCTTTTCTGGTAAATGAAGGTAACAGTCCCTTATTAGGAGGGTGTTTTGTAGGCAGTGGGTTACAGCAAATATGCCAGCCGGATTTCCACAGCTCTGCTGCATCTGCCAGAGCTCAGATGCCTACTTGATAAGTGTTTGTCAGAGCTAAAAGATTCCCCCTAGAAATCACTCTGGTTTCCTTGATCAGTCCCATTAAACCCTTACTGCTAAGCTGCTTTAAGACTGCCACATACCCGATAGCTTACAAGATAAGAACTTTTCTCACTCTCCACCCTTTTCTCCTACACAAACAGCCACTTGGCCCTGCAGAATGAGTGCACAGTGCTCAGCCCACATTTGTTTTCCTGGTCGTACTTGCTCAGCAGTGCATTTGCTGATATTGATGGCAGCCTAAGCACTAAATCCTGAGCAGAACTGTCAGTGAGACTTTGGGCAAAAACTAATGGAAGGATAACAAATTGCCCTGGTTTCATCCTGTCACATGAGTGAGTAATGGGGGAAGACCATGCACACTCTAACATAGGTCTGATGGTTTTGCTTTGCAACGGTGGCTTTGGGAGCTGAACTCTAGTGGGTGTAACATGCCTCTCTGTACTCTGTGCTGATGAAGCACTGCAATTCAAGTCTGAGCTTAAGCTGTTGGTTTTGTGCAGGTCCCGCCGTAACTGCTTTCATTGTCGGTAATGAGAACCTTATTTGGCCTGTGAGATCAAACTAGATGTCTAAGTGACTTTTCTGTTGCATCTGCCAGGCGAAAACAAGTCAAGTGAGATTCAAAGAGGAGTTTAGGTTGCTTTACCTTGTCCTAGATTTGAGCATACAAGAAGAGTGGATGTCATGGTTGGCAGAGGCAATGAAAATGAAGCATTGGTGACTGCTGCAGAAGGAGGGAAGTGGTGAGAAAGCTGCCAAGAAAGAGTAGCGGAGGAAGGCATGAACAGACACTTGGCTGTGCCCCTTCAGTCGATGTGAGAAGTGCTGACCATGCAGTGTGCTGAGGACTACCTAAAAGACTGTGGGACTTGCCCTGTGCTGGAGCAGTCAGTGCCCCAAGGGGCCCTGCAGCACCCTGCCTTCTGCTGCTTTCTCCTTCACAAAGTGCTACTTGCTTATTCCTCAGCTAGAAAGCCTGAGAAGTGGTGT